TCTTTAATATAAGTCAAGTTCTTTACTCAAATAAGTTTACTCAAAAAGGTAAATTGCTGTCACTCACTGGGAAGTCAGAATCATCTGTCACAAATTATAAACTATACAAATGAATTTAATGAAAACATACTCATTAAGTTAGAAGCATCTGTCCACAGAGCCCATAAAATAATTTTAAATAACATCAATGGTATAAGTGTTTACAACAAATATCAGAAATAAAGAGGTGAGCTTTAAAAATTAAATCTCTGAACATAGCTCGTCCCATTTGTGTTGTTTTAATCATAAAGTAAAATGACTTTTTATATTAATAGGATTTTTTTTTTTTGAGACAGTCTCCCTCTGTCGCCCAGGCTGAAGTGCAGTGACAAGATCTCAGATCACTGCATCCTCCTCCTCCCGGGTTCAAGCAATTCTACTGCCTCAGCCTCCTGAGTAGCTGCGATTACAGGCGTGTGCCACCACACTCTGCTAATTTTTGTATTTTTAGTAGAGATGGGGTTTCACCCTTTTGGTCAGGCTGGTCTCAAACTCCTGACCTCGCAATCTGCTCGCCTCAGTCTCCTAAAGTGCTGGGATTACAGATGTGAGCCACCACACCCGGTCTTAATAGCAATATTTATAGAAAAAGGTTCTAATAGCCTTCTGTCTTTTCCATATATATCCTAAAATTAAAGATGCCACTATTTTGAATAAATCAATCCTGTGTGGGCAAAATATTCACGATGGACTCAGCTCAGTGGATAATCTTGAAAGCAGGTTGGAATAATCATGGTTTATGTATTTACCATCTCCATATCTGAGAGAGTGGTACCTGCAGTTGGTAACTGAAATTTAACTCAAATTTGGAATTTGAGTTAAAATTTGGAATGCCAGCCTTATCTAAACATCCTTTTTCATGCAAACAATTATATAATTAGAGTGAATTAATATTTTTGTGCTGAAAGAATTATATTTGAAGGTTTAAGTACATAATGTGACACACACAAGGTGCTGTCCCTTTAACTTAAGGGTCCACAAATTCATTGCCTTAAGATTGTCTCACAGAAATGACTATATACACATGCATGTCAATTCCCCTTACAAAAGACATCAAAAAGTTATCATACGCCGGATGCAATTACTCACACCTGTTAATTCCAGCACTTTGGGAGGCTGAGGCAGGTAGATCACCTGAGACCATCCTGACCAACATGGTGAAACCTCGTCTCTACTAAAAATACAAAAATTAGCCAGGCGTGGTGGTGCATGTCTGTAGTCCCAGCTACTCGGGAAGTTGAGGGTTGAGACATGAGAATCACTTGAACCCAGGAGGTAGAGGCTGCAGTGATCTGAGGTCTTGCCACTGCACTCCAGCCTGAGCGACACAGTGAGACTCAGTCTCAAAAAAGAAAATAAAAGAAAAAAGTTATAATTTTTTCTCTATGTGGTATCTATAGTAGAGTTTTCCAATTTGCTTAAAAAACTTCTAATAATTTTGGAGGAAAATCACCAATTTCTCAAAGAAAAGCCTTACAATGCAATTTACTAACAACTCACATTCTTTATGATGGTATATGTCTGGTCACCAAATCATTCTTAAATATTTAAAATGATCTGGTCTGCCAGAATACTTAAGAAATTCATTTTAGGCCTTTTGCAGGGGCTCCCAGTCTCCACTGTGTCCCAAGTGGGGTGCACAAGTAGGACCTGTAGCAGCAAGGCTCCCAGTGCCGTGAAGACAGCACTTACCCGCAAGAGGAGGGACCTAATGGTCATGCTAAGGGGACAGAAACACAGCAATGTAGCGAAGAGGAACGAGAGTCATCTTAGGTCATCAGAAGGGCTTTCGCAGGAGACAGCATCTTCCTCTGTCACCCAGGCTGGAGTGCAGTGGTGCTATCTCAGCTCACTGCAACCTCCATCTCCTGGGCTCAAGCAATTCTCCTGCCTCAGCCTCCTGAGTAGCTGGGACTACAGACATGTGCCACCATGCCCAGCTAATCTTTGTATTTTTAGTAAAGACGGGGTTTCACCATGTTGGCCAGGCTGGTCTTGAACTCCTGACCTCAGGTGATCCTCCCGCCTTGTCCTCCCAAAGTGCTGGGACTACAGGCATAAGCCACCGCACCCGGCCCAGGAGGCAGCCTTTGAATGGAGACCTGAAGGACCAAAATACATCCAGCCTGTGAAAATCTCCATGTGCATGGCTGGGGTGAAGGGACAGAGAGAGCTGATGGTAGAATGTTCTGGGCAGAGGAACAACAAGGACAAATGCCCAAGGTGGAACTCGTGTGCAACCTTAAAGGAACAGAAAGAAATCCAGTGGGGCTGGAGCACGGTCACTGGGTGAACGAGGGGGAAATGGAGCAGATGAGGTCAAGGAGATGGGGAGGGCTGGAGGATAGATAGAAGGCGAGAACTCCCTTCCAAAGGACAAACATTTATTTCAAGGGCAAAGCAAATGTTATGGATGGATTTTAAGAAAGGGAAGGTCATAATCTAATTTACCTTTTAAAAAAAATTAGACTTTATTTTATAGCAGTTTTAGGTTTGCAGCAAAATTGAGCAGAAGGTACAGAGATTTCCCGTGTGCCCCCTGCACCCCACAAACACAGCCTCCCCCATTATCAACAGCACCCACCAGACTGGTACTTTTGTTACAACTGATGAACTACACTAACACATCACCATCACCCAGAGTGTATAGTTTGCATGAGGGTTCATTCTTGGTGTTGTGCATTCTATGAGCTTAGATAGGATGTATAATGACATGTATCCACCATGATATAATCCCACAAAGCAGTGTTGCTGCCCTAAAACTCCTCTGTGCTCTGCCTGTCATCCCTTCCTCCCCTCCATCCCTGGAAACCACTGGTCTTTTCACTATCTTTACGATTTTGCCTTTTCCAGAATGTCACACAGGTGGAATGATACAGTACGTAAAGCATGTAAAACACAAAACAGTAAACTCCTTGAAGATAACGTAGAAGAAAATCTAGATGACCTGGGGTTTGGTGAGAACTTTTTAGATCCAACACTAAAGGCACAACCCGTGAAGGAGAGAAATGATAAGCTGGACTTATTTAAAATTTAAAATTTCTGCTCTGTGAAAGACACTGGCAAGAGAATGAAAAGACAAGCCACAGACTGGGAAAAAACATTTGCAAAGGATATTACCTGATAAAGGCCTGCTCTCCAAAGTGTACAAAGAACACTTAAAAATCAACAATAGCAGAATAAACAATCCGATTTAAAAATGGGCCAAAGACCTTAGAAGATACCTCACCAAAGTAGATAGAGATGGCAAATACCCATATGAAAAGGTGTCACATCTTATGTCGTTAGGGAAATACAATTTAGAGCAACATTGAGATGCCACCACTCATCTAATAGAGTGGCAGAAATTGAGATCACGGACAACATGAAACGCCAGCAAGGCTGTGGAGTAACAGGAACTCCCATTCATTGTGGGGAGAAATGCAAAATGGAACAGGCACTTTGGAAGACAATTTGGGGGAGGGGGATCTTATAAAACTAAATATACTCTTATTGTGCCATCCTGCAATCTCACTCTTTAGGTATACCCAAAGGAGTGGAAAACTTATGTCTACATAAAAACTCACACATGGATATGTATAATAGGTTTATTAATAATTGTCAAAACTTGAAGGCAACCAAGTCATCCTTCAGTAGTTCAATGGAAAAATAAACTGACTTATGCAGACCATGGAATATTGTTCAGAGCTGAAAAGAAATGAGCCATCAGCCATAAAAAGGCCTGGAGAAAACTTAAATGTATATTACTAATTGGGGTGGGGGAAGCCAGTGTGAAAAGGCTACATGCTATATGATTCTAACTTAACCCTTTATAATTTGCTTTACATTATGAAAATAATGTAATATAATAATAATTCTATTATATATAAAGCATATAATAATAATGCTTTACATTATGAAAATAATAAGGTGTCATGGCCCATTGGGAATTTCAGCCACCATGGTCTGAGGTAGTGGGATTGTAATCCGGCAACATTGCTAATTTTTCTATGAATTTTACAGTCTTTGCCATACTGCAAATGTCAGGAGGTTCTTACTTGCAGAAGGAGATTCTGCAGATGGATGTTTGTACCACTGCATTAGCAAGGCTGCATCACAGAGTAAGATGTGCTATCTTCAGTCTCTAAAGGCTTTGAAAGTTCTTCAAAGCTGACAGTAAGGGCTTTATGCTTTCACTATACTTATAAAATCAGTGTTTCTGGATTGGACCTCAGAAATGCATTAGTTCTCTGCTCTCAGACAAGACACTCCTCCAAGTGGAGCGTGTTTTTCACTGCCTATGGAAACACAGATGAACAAAATGATTCCGTATCTTAACCTATGACCTCTGTATCAGAGAATGAATCAGTAGCTACTGTGAATAAATAAACCCCTAAATCCAAAGGGCTCAACACAGCACAAGTTTATTTTTCTTATCAAATCCAATCAGTGGTAATGACAGTGGTGAGAAATTTGCTTCAAGCACTGTTCAGGGACTTAGCTTCTCTCCCTCTTATGATTTTACCCTCTTCTACAGCAGTCCCACCAGTAGAACATTCTATGGTGATGGAAATGTTCTATGCTTCCTTGTCCAATACAGTAGCCACTAAAGACATATGGCTATGGAGCACTTGAAATGTGGCTTGTGCAATGGTAGAACAAAATTTTTAATTTTATTTAATTTTTTAAAGAAAAAAAACATTGAAGAACTTTTATTATCTCATTTCAGGACTTATTTTATAGCATTTAAATTAGGGAAAGTAATTAAGACAGTTCTATTAGCATATGAATAGTCTACTGGCTCAATGAAAGAGAATAGAGAGTCCAGAGTGAAAATATATATATGTGTGTGTATAAACATGTGTGTGCATATATATAATGTACATTTAAAATATATACTGAATATATCTGGAATGTGTATATGCATGTAATTATATATAAATATATATATGTATATATATATGGAATTTGGTTACATTCTAAATATATATATTCAATTGATCTTGGGAAAGATTAGTTGATAAAATAGATTATTTGATCAATTTGATCAATAGTCTTCAATTGATCTCTTGGAAAAAGATCAGTTGAAGACTATTTCTCCCAATATCCATTTACCTTGCCAATGGCTCAACAGAGCAGAAGTTACCTTGCCATGAATGGTGGGAGAAAATCGCTTTCAACAAACAGTGGTAGAACAACTGGATATCTGTATGTAATAAACATGGAGAAACAGATTTAAAAGAAACCATAACCATTCCACTGGTATATGTTATTTTTGTCAAACTGATTGCTGAAGTGAGAAGCATCGGCTGCAACTTTAGGAGGAAGGAACTGGAGCCTGGAAACATTAAATAAAAACACAATAATCGCATAGCAAGGAAATGCCAAAGGCAAGATTGAAGCCCAGTTATCTGTCATCCAAAAGTTGCCCCATGATGGTATGGGAGACTTGCAGGAGAAAGATAAACAGATGAATAAGTGAAGGACGACAGGTTGTAAGTCAGACAGGAAGCTGAGGTCTCTCACTCCCTCTTGTCTCTGTATGTATTTTGGGTCTCATCTAACTTCAATTTCACGTTTTATTTTTATTTCATTGTGTTGGTAAAGGGAAGAAATCATAAGGACATGGGACTGCGATATTTCTTTGTCTCCCATTTTTATTTGATTTAAATTCATTCAAATTTAAATAGCCACACAGGATTAGTGGCTATTAGTAGCTAGAGCCTTGGCACCCTCTCTATTGAGCCTGCAGGTAAGGAAAAATGATCTAAGGGTAGACTTTTAAAGGACCAGTCAGAGAAGTGGGGCACTTCACTTCCTTTTCCTTTCCACTGGCTAACACCCAGTCACTTGGCCACACCTCACCGCAAAGGAGGCTGGGAAATGTAGTCTAGCTGTGTGCCCAGAAAGATAAAGGAACAGATTTTGGTGAGCACAGAGCTACGTTTATGATTCCAGGACTGAAATTTCAATGAAGGCTGAAATGTGCACCACTTCGTTTTTGAGGCAACAACAGAAAGCAACAGGCAAATCCACCAAAAGTAGTTACATAAGAACAGCATAGATGCTAAACTAGTTAAAATGCCTAATTGCAAATGTTTATCACCAGCAGTAACAAGGCTAAGATTAGAGATGCGTATGCTCAACTGTGTATATTCACTCAACATCTGTCACATACCTACTTGGTATCATGTACTATGCCAGGCACAGGGGATGCCAAGATGGACAAGACATTATCTGCAAAAGATAATTTTAACATAGCAGGTACAGCGTTAGAGGGTAAGATGCAATGAAAACTCAAGAAGAGGATGCTAAGTTCTTTTGGTGGTGGATAGAAAGTCAATTTAGGCCAGGGTTTCCAACAGATATGTTCATGTGTATGAGTGCAATTATATACATACTTTGAAAAACACTTTTCTGAGATACAGGAGTGTGAAGGAATGGGTAGTGGAGTGTCTTCAAATCAAAATCAACAAAAAACAGATATTATAACTTCAACACGGATGTGGAGTTCTCCTTATGTCAAACTGGTGGCTGACCTAAATCCACCCCTGGCCTAAGCCATGTGTCCAGGGTTGTCAGATACACTTCACGTTCCTTCTACAACATCACCACAACATCATCCTAAGCTTAGCTGGGCACGTTGCACAGAAACCGCTGTCTCTCCTCCAATCTCCCTTGGAGCTCCTTCTTCACCTGCCCTCTCCCATAATGCTTTCTCTTCTTCCATGTTTGGTGGTAAGTTATTTACATGTCTACTCCTTAACACTAAATGGTGGCCTGTCACTGGGCTTCAGTGGGCATGACTTTATTATCTTAGCATTAACATGGTATCTGGCCCACTAACTATGGTGGACTTCCTAGTGGCTTGGTGACTCAGAACCCCTTCACCTTACTTTCAGTAATGGCATCCTAATGTCCTTCTGAAAGGTGAAAGGTGTACCTCACCCTCTGTCTTGAGTCTTGTAAGACTGCAAGCCAGGATGTCAAGAACGGGACTTCTGCAATCAGCCTCCCTTCACCCCAGGAGTTTGAATCTGGAATACAGCAACATGAGGTCAGAAAGTGGTTGGAGCTTATGCTCCCCTGACAGTGCACGTGGTTGAGTCTGCCTGGACCCCAGCTACACCTTGGTTGCAGTCTATAATAGACTGGGTCTGTACCCTTCCCATCCATTCTTTGAGCCTCATAGAGATTTCCCATGAATTTTCTTCATCTATAGCTAGACTGTAAGAATTCCAATTTATAGAATGTACATCTGTAAGTGCATATGGAACATGTTACTAATGAACGTCACAGAAGACTAAATGTAAAATCCCTCTTTATGGGCTAGTAGAATCTGTTTTACATAGAAGCAAAATGAAACACATCCAGTATATATTGGAGTCCACAATGGGAATGGGTTCAGTCAAACGCATATGACCAGATGTTATTTTCAATATGCTTGAAGATATTTTCACTTGACTCTTGAGATGAAAAGAGATGAGTAGGACTGAGACTTGGTACACACTTCATAACCTTCCTAGACTTGGAAAAACTTTCAAAGTCTTTGGAGTAAAGTCAAGGTTCCCATCCATCTTCCTGTTCCCTGGTGCTAATCAGAATTGATTCCTCCTTCCTTTAGGACCTCCTGTCCCTCTTCAGCTGCCATGCTCTCAGGAGTATTTTACTCTTAAGTATCTCCCCTTCTGGACTAGAGTTTCAGGTCCTTTTCTGTATCTTCTATGAGGCTTAACACAGGGACTTCCTTCATAGGAGGTACTCAGAAAATACTGGCTGAATTGAATGGAGTTAATTTGAATTATTAAATCCAGGTAAGTGGGCTTGGTAAGTCCATTAGCTTTGCCCTGGGAATCTCGTCTCCTGTCCTTCTCCATTTCCATTTGACCATATAAACATGACAGAGAGTGATTCAGTAGTCTTCCCTATTCACTTCAGAGGGTTAGAAATGAGATGTGAAAATGACAGCAAGGAGACATGTCAATAATACCCATGTGGGGTCAGGGAGTCTCCCGCTGCCTGCCCAACCTCCACAAGAAGAAAGCCATCAAGGCCACTTGAGTAGATCTCACACAAGTCACCTGACTCAAGATGACCATGCTGCTCAGGAGGTCGGTGGCGGGGATTTCTGTTGAGAGGGCATTACAGATTCAATGTCCATGTCACACTGATGGAAGCCTTGCTTCTCTTGGACATCTGAGCCTGTATATTTTTCCTCTGCTCATCTCGTGGAGTAGAATTTGTTTTTGTGTACACTTAAAATATTAGGGTCAGCTAATAAAACAATAAGAATCAAAGGTTTATCAAGCCATAAAATATTAAGTCTTTAAGACTTTTCTGACACTGGAGAGCCCTCTGTATTTGTGAAGACGCATATACATACCTTCTCCCAGGTAAGCCCATGAATGATGGAATCTAATTTTAGTTCTTATTTAATGTGTGTGTGCATGTGTGTTTGTGTGGGGGGGGAAGGGGAGAGAGAGAGAGAAAGCAATAACTAAATACATACTGTACCTCTGAAAAGTCACCAAAGACAAGAAAAAAAAAAAGTAGGTATATATTTAGCTAACTGTTCTGTGGATTTTTTTTTTTCCTTTTGAAAAACTCCAGTGCAAGTGTTCAAGCCAAGTAGAAGCCTTTCACTCCAGTTTTTTATTTATTTTGCTCTCTCCTTTGGAAAGCGATGCACATGTATTATGAAAAGCAAATATTATATTCTTTATTGTCAAACAAAGTTTATAAGGTTCGTGTGTCAATGATGGGGCCAAGGACCTCACACAGAAAGTTTCCTGTCCTGGAAGAATTTCTCATGGAAAATAAAATATGGGAAGTCGGGGGAATGCTGACTGCCAGCAAATAGAATCCGCCCACTCCTAATGGCACCCATGGGGTTGGATGAGCTCAGGCTTTGACTGTCCTAGCTGGAGCGGGGGTGGGGGTGATGGGGTTCTTCCCTATAGACTAGCATGGGTCACTCAGTGAGGGGAAGGACCACGGTGGAAGTTTAAGGGTGTTTATTCAGAGGAGGCTACTTGTGTCCACCTCCATCCAGCTCTAACATCCAGATGCATGCGGCAAGCAGGCCTTTGGACACAGGAAGCAGAAGCAAGGTGATGAAAAATGAAAGGCATTCTTTGGCCTTGGAACAGACAGGCATGGAATCCGGTAGGAGTACGGTTACTATTTACAGGAAACTGGCACAGAGATAAAACTTTTGCTAGACAGGTTGGTGCCATTGTGTTCTGGCACCGTGAAAAGCATTAAATAAGGTTTAGCATTTGTCTAAACCATGCTGTATGCACTCTACTTTCTGATATGTATTGCTTTCTCCAACTGGGAGTTTCACTCAAGTCCCTCCCTGGGGAGTAGAGAGCGGGAGTTATAGTCAACCATGGTTAATTTGTGCTTTGTGCTTTGTTTATGCAAACCATATGTCTAGATGGTTGTAATTCTGTGTCATTGGCTGTGTAATGCTCTCTGTGCTATGATATCTGTAAATAGCAACAGCTCAATGCATAATCACGTTGGTATTCTGAAGGGGGAAAAGGGAAGTTTCAAGTGACGTTTGCTGTGAAGACAGCCACTCCAATGATGTCTCCATCCCTGTCTCCCAGGACATAATCTCTTATGTATTAGTCATGCAGGTCTCTGCGGATGCGACGGACCCTTACAGAAGCCAGACGTGGTGGGTCAATGCTACCTCCAATTCTAACTCTCTGGACTTAGGGCTGGAGAACACTCCAGATATTAAATCATATCATTGCTATTCAGCAGGCCCAGTGAGTAGTTTGTGTACCAAAGAGAAATCCTTTTATCTTGATGCTAGAAAAAATTAAAAACAACAAAAGAAGGGGAATCCACCAAAATTTTCTTTCATAATATTTTCATTTAAAAACTTTATTTGATTCACCAGCTTCCTATCAAGAAAAGTTATTGTGCTCAAGGACTGGAGGTGATAAAGTCTAATGTAAATTTCTTAAATGGCAAATTACCAGCCAGGATGAACACACAAAGGCTTTTTTTTTAGGCTTTTACATACAGCCTAAAAGCCCCAGGGACCCTGCTTCACTGCAGCACCCAGGAGCAGCTTCTGAAAACTGCAGTGGGCTGGCTGGAGACCTCTGCAGAAGAGGAGGCCACACCTGTGAATTACAGCAAATTCCACTACACCCTGACTTCAGCAACCTCCTAAAATGGAAAAGGGGGCGTTAAAAATATTTGTCCTTCATCCAAATGCTGCCATTCATTTAGAAGTGAGGCCGTCTTACTTCGGGTACCTGTAGAGCATGACCATTTGAGCATTCTAAATTGCCTTTTAGGGAGCCTGGCCCCAGAGTCAGCCTCAGACAGTGGAGACATGACAATCTCTGAAGTCCTGGGGAAGGAAAGGGCTGGTGTGCAAACAAGACTAGGGAGATGAGCTGAATATGTATCCGCCAGCCTTGCCAGAGACACGGCTGTTCTCTAGCTGGCACTGCCACAGACATGTCCGCCTGCCACGCTAACAGTCTTGGTGTATTTCATTCACCAACCCTTTTGCCACAGCAACCTGTTTAAACCATCTTATGGCCTCAGACCCCAATCTTGGCAGACATCCTTGGCTTGGACTTTATGGAAAAATGAGAAGCCATCATATAGGAGCAGGAACATCTTTTTCTTACATGACAGAATCTACCGGCCCATCTGCACCTGCCCGTCCTCCCCCAGCTTCCTCTGGCTACAAAGGTGAAGTTCTCCCTTCTCCTTCCTAAGGGGCCTTTCCCCTCCTGCCTTTTCAGGCCTTCCATCAACAGACATCTGTTCCTTTGCTTACAATTCCCACTAGTCTCCCATTCGTAAAATTCATTTCTTTGCTCTCACTCATTTTCCTCCTGCCATTGTCTCCTCACTCTTCCCAATCTGGTGTAAAGCGGCATGTCCATAGACTGTCCCCAATTCCTCACCTCCTTTCAATCTTCCACTCACTCTTCCAACTCCTTCAATTCCACTTCTTTCCATACCGTGTGATGAGCTTTGGCCGTGTCTCTACCCAAATCTCATCTTGAATTGTGTAGCTCCCATAATTCCCAGGTGTTGCGGGAGGGACCCAGTGGGAGATAACTGAATCAGGGGGCCGGTTTCCCCCATCCTGCTCTTGGGGTAGTGAATAAGTCTCATAAGATCTGATTGTTTCATAAGGGGTTTCCTCTTTTGCTTGGTTCTCATTCTGTCTTTGCCTGCCACCATGCAAGGTGTGCCTTTTGCCTTCCACCATGTTTGTGAGGCTTCCCCAGCCACGTGGAACTGTGAATCCATTAAACCTCTTTTTGTTTATAAATTACCCAGTCTTGGGTATGTCTTTATCAGCAGCATGAAAATGGTCTAATAGACCATTCCATCAGGACTTCCCTGCTAACAGCTCTAAATCCTGTATTCCATTCTCACCCTCCGTCTGAACATCAGCCACTAGTCAACATCTCCACTCGAACACCCTGTGGGTAAGTGGTCCATATGTCTTCTTCTGCTCTGGGAAGTCTCTATTTACATGTGGTGCCCTGGCATAGGTAGTCACAGCATCCCTTTCAGACTCAAAAGCATCTTAGACAATACATTTTAAGGTCACATATATTAGCAGATATAGGCATCTGTGATTTGTCTGCCTAATCTATTTACTTCCTTATTTCTATTTCATTTTTTGCTTTTAAAGAACTATCCCTTGCAGATACCTTTTCTTTTTGTTCTTTTTCTTTTCTTTCTTCTTTTTTTTTCAGATAAAATTTCTCTTTGTCACCCAGGCTGGAGTGCAGTGATGCCACCTCAGCTCACTGAACCCTTGGCCTTCCAGGTTCAAGTCATTCTCCTGCCTCAGCATCTCAAGTAGCTGGGACTACAAGCATTTCCCACCACGCCTGGATAACTTTTTGTATTTTTAGTAGATATGGGGTTTCACTATGTTGCCCAGGTTGGTCTCAAACTCCTGACCGCAAGCGACCTGCCCATCTCGGCCTCCCAAAGTTCTGGGATTATAGGCATGAGCCACCGTGCCCAGCCCAGATACCTTTTCAATGTGGTCTGGTCATAATAACTGATCTACCCAGAATCATATTGGTATAAAGAGAGATACTGAGTCAAAAGTAGGTCAAGACCATTCACACCCAACATATTTTGCTGACACAATTTGAGGAGAGGGAAAAAAAAAAGAAACCCTGTTTTCTCAGTGGGATTGCTATGCTGGTAGAATGGAATAGAAGCCTGAGGAGACTGGGCCAGTTCTGCCACCAAATTTAGAGAGAGTCTGCTAGAGGATGAAGGCAGCACAGAGAAAGCACAGCTTACAGGAACAGAAGGGGGGGAAAAGAGAGGATGGGAGGGAAGAAGAGAGAGATTCCCAATGCCATTGTTAAACACCCGGGCTGGAAGCCTGTTCCACCCATGGGCTTTCTACTGTGTACCCCAAAACTCTTCATTTTCAGTCAGTAGAGTTAGAGGTAGGTTTCTCTCACTTAACGACAAGACAGCCAGGATCTACACGGTCATGCCTAAATTCATCTCCAGGAAGTCCTATCGCTGCTGTCCCCAAATCTATTCCTCCTCCACCCTTCAAATCTCAGCAACCATCCAGTTTCTTTTGCCAAAAACCTTGGAATCACCTTGGACATCTTCACTTCTCTAGTGCCATCATCAAATCTTATTGTTTTTTGTTTTTTTTTATCACTAAGAAATGTGTAAATTCTGGTTCCTTCCCTCCGTCAGCACGGTGTCCCCCAACAAGTCTATAAAACCATCATCTCACCTGGGCAACTCAACAGCCTCCCGTGGGTCTTCCCATAGCCACTCTCACTCCCAATATTCTCCATGGAAAATCTAGAGTCATCTTCTTAAACTTCAGATCTGCTCATGGTGCACAAGACCATGCTTCAGTGGGGAGCTGGAAGGAGAGTAGAGGGAGCATTGCCACGTAAGTAAGTAGGCATTATTGAAGCTCTTGAAATTCTTGAATTCACCAATAAATGTTCTATTTGAAGCTGGGTGTGGTGGCTCATGCCGGTAACCACCTTGGGAGGCCAAGGTGGTCAGATTGCTTGCGCCCAGGAGTTCAAGACCAGCCTGGGCAACATGGTGAAACCCTATCTTTACAAAAATTACAAAATTTAGCCAGGCATGGTGGTGAGTGCCTGCGCTCCCAGCTACTCCAGAGGCCAAGGAGGGAGGATCACATGAGCCCCGGAGGTGGACGTTGCCGTGAGTTGAGATCATACCACTACACTCCAGCTTGGGTGAGCAAGTGAGACCATAAAAAAAAAACATATGTCTTATTTTTCTATCATTATTTGCTTTATTTTGTTTCAGTCAGAAGCTTAGGGTCAAACTTTTTTCCTTGAGCTGGGATATTTGAACGCTGAAGTTTACTAGCACCTTCCCATGGGCAGATTGGAGAGTGGTGCTCAGATTTTAAATTAAAATCTCTACCGATGCTGTCAGGATGCTAAGCAGAGCCTGCACAGAAGCACTGTACATGGGTCAGTGACTGCAGGGTCATTTGTAGCCCCTGGTATTTGAAGTTTCCTCCAGAACCTTCCTGGAAGTGAGTGTTCTCAAAGGAGAGGCATGCACTATGTCGCCATTTAATCTTAGATCCTAACCTCTCTCCATCTCCTCCTTCCTCAAAACAGACCTGTGCATTCCAAATTTGACTGAGTCCAGTAATATTAGTCCCACCTGACTGGGCTGCGGTCCTGACCCAGTAGTTTTAGAAACGAGTTTTACAGAAGGAGATACGCGAAGGGTAAAATCAGAGGGGTACGTGCATGTTCCTGAAAGAGAAGACTAAACATTGTAAGGGGGCCATTGCCCCAATTTATGTGCAAGTCTATTACAATTCCAATCCAAATTTTAATAACATTTTCTTTGAAACTTGACAAAATGATTCTAAATGTTGTCTGGAAGAATAAATGAATAAAATAATCCAAGTTTGATGAAACAGAAAGATTAGAAACATTTGTACAGACATTAAGAGAGATTCTAAAACTACGACAATTAAAATAGAGTGTTATTGGACCAAGCATGGGCAGGTGGAAAGAACATTAAGAATCTATTCTGTAATAGGAGAGCTTTTTCAAGTCTCTGGGGGAAATGATGCGGGGACAACTGTGAAACACTAAAGATAAATTGATTCATCACTGCTTCACACCACATCCTAAAATAAATTTCAAGTGGATTATAAATTTAAAAATACATATACAAATGAATTAGAAGGAAACATAGGTGCATGTTTATCTGATCTTGTAATGGGAAAATCTTTTAAGTAGTGTATTACCATAAAGTAAAATATTGATGAAATTGATCATATGTAAATTCAAATATTCTGCCATGGCTACGTCTAAGAGCAAACAGGAAACTGGAAAAAGAAACGTGCAATGTATGTAACAAACGGTTTATATTCTTAAGTCTCTGAAATGTCAATGTGGACAACAGACATGATTAGAAAATTCACAAAGGAAGTACTAACAGCAAAAATATGAAAAGTGTTTAAATTTGCAAGCTGTCAAAGATGTGCAAACTGAAACAATAGTGAAACATAACTTTTCAGCTATCACACTGACATTTTCTAAAAAAGAAAAGGTTACATAGAGTCTGGGAAAATGGGCACACACAGGCTGCTAGGATGAACCTAAAGCGACACAACCCTGCTACAGGGTAACTTGGCAAACTTCTTAAAAATATGCATAGTTCATTTACACAGCAATTCCTCTTCTAGGAATTTATCCTCAGAAAATAATCATAAATAACTGAAGAAATTTATTTAAAAATGTTCCCTGGAAGGTTGTTTATAAAAGAAAAAAAAAAACAAAATAAACATCTGAAAATACAGAGTTGCTTAAATAAATTATGGTGCATTATAATCCAAGGTCATAAAAAAAATCACACTGAGAATTATTTAGTGACTTTGGAAAAGGTTCACAATATATAGTTAAATGGGGAAAACAGTTGCAAACCCATCTGTACAATGTGGTCCCATTTTTTTTGTTTTTAAAAAATGTATGTATGTAAATATATGCATGGAAAGAGACTTTAAGAGGATAACCAAAAAGTTATCAGTGATTATCTCTGGGTGGCAAAAGTATTGGTGATTTTCATCATTCCTCAAATGTTCTGGAATAAAAATGCGTTACTTTTTGTAAAAAGATTCTTAAAAACATTAACTTTTGTTTAAATTCTGCAAAGAAGTCAGCTCTCAAAAAATGGTCTTCAGGAAGATTTTTTGGGGAAATTCTTACAAAAACTGGGGAATTGCTAAGGAAAGTGGTCAGACGTAAATGCAGCTGAGCTAGGAGAGGATCACCCACCTCTCAGGGCCACTGACTGTCCTGGAAGCCAGCAGCCCCATCACTTCTTCCTATCACTGTTTCTTTTTTTTTTTTTTTTTTTTTTCTGAGACAGAGCCTCACTCTATCTCCAGGCGCCAGGCTGGAGTGCAGTGGCACAATCTTGGCTCACTGCAACCTCCACCTCCCAGGCTCAAGCAATTCTCCTGTTTCAGCCTCCAGAGTAGCGGGGACTACAGGCACACGCCACCACGCCCAGCTAATTTTTGTATTTTTAGTAGAGATGGGGTTTCGCCATGTTGGACAGCATGGTCTCAATCTCTTGACCTCGTGATCCGCCTGCCTCGGCCTCCCAAAGTGCTGGTATTACAGACATGAGCCACTGAGCCTGACCTCGTCACTGTTTCTTTTATGAATCATGCAATGGAAAAGTGATATGGACTAAAAATAATAATGAGGATGATCACAATAATAATGCATACGATTAATATATTATCATTAATATGTTAATAGAAAACTGACATTTATTAAGCACTTGGTATTTCCCAGACCCTGAGCTAAGGACTATACAGATATTATCTCATTTAAAGCTCACAACAATCCATTGACAAAGAGACTATTGCCTGGGAGTCATAGAGAAAGTAAACTGAGACCCAGATGGTGGGATGGTGACGTGATTCTCCCACACTTTCAGCTCGCAGGAGGCCAAGGGGAATTATGAACATATCTGAGTCTAATGTCAGAGCCCCTGGCTGATCGACATTGATTAGATGCTTACAGGAGCATTTTTCCAGAACCACATGCCCTGATCCTGACTTCACCACCCAGGCCTCAATTTCCTTTGTGATTCAGGCTCGTATTATGTAGCCTGACTCCACTGTGAAAGATTTGTAGCAATTGCATGATGTATGAGGTGCCATTTGTAAAAATATTATTTAGTGTAAAACATGATGTTTTTTCTCCTGATTTACAAGTTGGATTTATAAATCTGCACTTCTCACTATCTGAGTTATATATCTTGCCTCTGATTTATAAAACTTGCCTGTAAATCTTCCCAGCAAAGTTTTGATTCAGAAATCATTATTTTAAGAATTAGATTTAGTTAAAACATTCAGCTGCTTTATAGGGGAGGAAATGGATTTACATAGCTCCAGCAGGAGCTCACACACCCTATAGCGGCCTCATAAGTTGTGCCCAGGAATTCCTAAGGAAAATGCTTTGATTTAAGGGCATTCACTTCACACTTTAGCTACAACTGACTGATTTATATCGCCAAAGCCATACAATCATGATCCATTTTACAAAATCCCACTTTTCTTTAATTCTGGACCTTACATGCCCTGATTGGGTCTCTGTAATGCTCCCTCAGTCACAGGATCCTCTGCCCTAGAGCTGGTCTTGGGGAAAAGGTTTACGAGCCAGGGATGATCAGAATAAAGGGAAATGCCATCTCCTTCTTGGCGTCTCTCCCTTATTCCAAGAGAGCCAAAGCAGGTTGCCTCCTGCCACTGGGCTAGAGCCAGCTAAAACTTGGGGAGTGTCTGTAAGATGCCACGGCATTCTCCAAGGATGTTGTGGGTTCTCTCCATCCCAATTGCTCAAATGAAGAGGGGATTGATTGCTCTCACGTAGAAGAAATCGCCAGTCCAGAGAATTGAGGATGTGTTTGATGAGTGATTGCCAGTTGAAAAAAAAATCAATGAATAAATGAACACTTTTTAAAGAGCAGAGGCCAACAAGCAGTGATCTGACAGGTAGTATAAATGAATGAAAAGGGAGGGTGTGGAGAGCCTGGTGAGAGGCTGGTCCAGTCTGAACAGGGCGGCTGTAGCTCAGCTCCACCTGGCTGTGGCTGGGTAGGATTACTTGCCCAGCATTCCCACGTGTGGCTTTTCAAGGCGATCCTGAAATTCAAATGTTGATTTTAAATGCCTTATTTTAAAAATCAACGTTGTGTCGGTTTAGTTTAAAACAGCAAAATACACACACTTTAAATGTACAGGTCAATGGCATTTGACCAAAGTACACACTCGTGCAACCATCACCCTGATCAAGGTATAGAATGTTTCCGTCTTTCCAGAAAACTTCCTCTTGCCTCTTCAAGTCAATATCCTCCATCCCACCCTCTGTTCCAGTTACTGCTGGTCTTGTTTCTGTCTCTACACATATTTTTTTTTTCTGTTTTCATATAATTGGAACTTAATATGAATTGAATCATACAAAATGCATTTGTTTCCTGGGTTGTCTCTGTCGCTTAGCATGCCTGTGAGATTCATCCATGCATTACCCAGTGTTTGTTCCTTTTTATGGCTGAGTAGTATTCCGTGATCTAAATGTATTATAGTTGTTGATTCATTTCCAGTTGGTGGTCATTTGAGTTCCTTCCAGACATAAAAACTATTATGAATAAAGCTGCTAGGAACATTCCTGGACCAGTCTCTTTATGGACATATGTTTTCGTTTCTCTTGGGTAAAAACAGAGGAACGGAGTTGCTGAGTCACTTGGTGAGTGTATGCTTAACTTTCCATAAAGCTGCCAGACAGTTTTCAAAAGTGATTTTGCCATTTTACACTCTCTCCCCTCACCAGTAATATATGAAAG